AGCTAGCCTGGCCTTTTGGCGATTCGGCTTTTTTGCATGGCCGTTGGTCGCTGGAGTTACGGAGACGGACATCGCATTCATTGACTCGCTGATGTCTTTCGGCTTCTCGAGAGTGACGGGCTCATCATCACCGTTGACAGAGACACTTTCACCGTTCTCCGTTTGCGGTGGGTCACGAGAATTCAAAGCAGCTACCTCAGCATCGTGCTTCTCTTTGAGCTGTCTCTCAAGCTCTGTACATTCATCGTTGACCCCTTTGAGAGTCTTCTTGGTAGTCGACTTTTTCTTTTGCGTTGTTCTTGACTGAAGATCCTTTTGTTCCTGGCGATGTTTCCTTTGCAGATCCTCCATCATACGCTTAGTTGAGTTGACGATCGAGGTACACAGCTCTGATGTTTAAAAGGCAAAGGCTTGGCAGAGACACAGGTACAGGATGAAAAGGAAACTTTTAGCGGAGGAAAGTATACCGAGCCGAGGCAAAACTGCAATCCTCCGAGCCTCCAGAAGCTGTGTATTCAGCATCCCACGCCAATTTCAAATAGCAATATTGAATATGAAGCTCACACGCAAGTATCGGAAGCGTAATGATATCTTAATGCAAATGGTATAATATCGTCGAGGCAATAATGCAAAGTCTGCTACGGAGAATATTCGGCTTACCCACAAGTCGTACTCTCAACAAACTTCGAACATGCTCCCTTGGACCGGGCCAGCCAAACAACAGAGCTCCACCATGAAAGCCTCGGCCGCCATTATGAAGCCAACAAGCCGAACCCGTCCGTCCTTTACACAACCATTCCCAGGTCTTGGGATCCTCTTTCCCCAATTATCCATCCCATTCGACAACGCCGATTTCAACGCAATTTCCTTCCTCTTCTGCTCGATTATACCCAAAGCGCGCACCCGGCAGCCCCAGAGGAAGACTCTCCTTCAAAGCCGCAATTCTGGCGGATCAGGTACCATTCCTGTTCGCCGTCCCAATGTCTTCAGTAGACCATGAGGACCAACTTTATGAAGCGGACGTCAACGCCGTGAAGCAATGGTGGACGGACTCTAGATGGAGGTACACTAAACGGCCTTTCACGGCTGAACAGATTGTTGCTAAGAGAGGGAACCTCAAAATTGAATACCCGAGCAATGTTATGAGCAAGAAATTGTGGCGTATCGTTGAAGGCAGGTTCAAGGTAGATATTGGACAACTTGTCTAGAAACCGTCAGGCGGGCTGATTTGATGTCCAGGATGGCGATGCTAGCTACACGTATGGCTGTATGGAGCCAACAATGCTCACGCAGATGGCGAAATACCTTGATACCGTCTACGTTTCCGGCTGGCAATGCTCGTCAACTGCGTCCTCTACCGACGAACCCTCGCCGGATCTGGCAGATTATCCAATGGTGAGACACATTATCCAATAAATGATACCCCTGGTACTGACACTTTGTAGAACACTGTCCCCAACAAAGTCCAGCATCTCTTCATGGCTCAGCTTTTCCACGACCGCAAGCAAAGAGAAGAACGAATTACTACTCCCAAGGCGAACCGTGGCAATGTTGCAAACACTGACTTCCTAAGGCCTATTATTGCAGATGCAGACACCGGTCATGGAGGTCTTACAGCAATCATGAAGCTCACAAAGCTTTTCATTGAGAAGGGGGCAGCAGGCATTCACATCGAAGACCAAGCGCCTGGGACGAAGAAATGCGGCCACATGGCAGGGAAGGTTCTGGTACCGATTAGCGAGCACATCAACCGTCTGGTGGCTATCAGAGCCCAAGCAGACATCATGGGCACCGATCTTTTAGCTGTCGCCCGCACGGACTCCGAAGCCGCTACGCTCATAGCTTCCACAATTGATCCGCGGGATCACGGTTTCATCCTAGGCATGACGAATCCAGCTCTCCAGCCTCTGAACGACCTGATGGTAGCAGCCGAGCAAGCGGGAAAGACTGGGGACCAACTGCAAGCGATCGAGGACCAATGGATGGCCCAAGCGGGTCTCAAGCTCTTTGATGACGCAGTTGAAGACATGATCAACGCTGGTGTGCACGTCAATAAAGCGGGCTTGGTCAAAGAGTACCGATCAGTGGTCAGGGGCAAGAGCAACTCTGAGTCGAGAGCCATCGCTAAGGGTTTGACTGGCGTCGACATCCACTGGGATTGGGACTCGCCACGGACAAGAGAAGGGTTCTACCGTTATCAAGGCGGCTGCGGATGTGCTGTAAACAGAGCCATTGCTTACGCTCCGTATTCAGACATGATATGGATGGAGAGCAAAAAGCCAGATTACAAGCAGGCAGAAGAATTCGCTAATGGAGTGCACGCTGTCTGGCCCGAGCAAAAGTTTGTTCCCTCTTGAAGATCCCTAATGTTTTCGCAAAGCTGACAACATCATCAGACTCGCCTACAATCTCTCCCCATCCTTCAATTGGAAAGCAGCTATGCCGCGTGATGAGCAGGAAACTTACATCAAGCGCCTAGCTAAGCTTGGATACTGCTGGCAGTTCATCACGCTTGCCGGCCTGCACACAACAGCTCTCATCTCTGACCAATTCTCCAAAGCATATGCTAAGCAAGGAATGCGTGCCTATGGAGAGCTTGTTCAGGAACCAGAGATGGAAGGCAAGATTGATGTAGTGACTCATCAGAAATGGTCGGGTGCCAACTATGTCGACAATATGCTCAAGATGCTAACTGGCGGTGTGAGCTCGACGAGTGCAATGGGTAAGGGTGTTACAGAAGACCAATTCAAGTGATATTTCACAGCGTGTGAATAAAGCGTCAATACACCGAACTGGCGGTGTGAGCTCGACGAGTGCAATGATCAGAATGTCACTTAGGACCAGTTCAAGTAGTTTTCCACAGTGCAGATAGCCCATCAGTTATACAGATGTATGTTACTACATTGCTAGTCCTACCGTGATAGCACCCATGCATGCCACAAGCCACGCCGCCCCTGTCGAGAATCTCGCGGTGGCCGTGCTCGCCTGCAAGCTCGCCGTTTCAACACCCATCGGTGCCGGGTCGTCGACTGACCACACCCGCTCCCCATTTCCAACGGTGTCGTTGATACCAAAGTAACCACTCTCAATAAAGCTCTGGTTCCCACGGCGGATGAAGCAGCAGGGATCGTGTGCTTGGTAGGATATGAGCGGGACGTCGACATACGTTGGAGCGTGGTAACATTGGACCAAAGATCAGGATAGGTATTGACCCCTACAGCCAATCCCTATCAGCTCTTGATAGCAAGTAAGCTCAGGTGGTCAGTCTAGCGTTTGGTACACACTTCGTGGGGGCCGTAGCATTGCGGTATCATCATTGTATTTGCAGGGTTGCCGTTTGGTCGTCTGGTACAGGTGCCCAAGACGCCCTGATCGTGTCGTTGTAGGAGACGAGTTGCGCGCTGCCATCGACGATGTTTGGATAGGTGAAGCTGGGGGTGGGCGTGGCAGCTGTAGCGGTAGAGGAAGCAGTGCTTTGAGGGGAGACTGGGTGGATTGGGTAGAAGAGAAAAAGAGAGAAAAGCGAGGCCTTTGTGGAAGATGCGCGCTGCGGAGACGTGCTGTCTCATAGGCAGAATGGACGAGGCGAAGACAGAAGAGAGAAGATAGCGATGAATGAAGAGGTATTGTAGGAGTAACAGTGATTTACTTCTCGAGACGTGAGGGGAGAAAATCGGTCACTACGCGCTGACTCGGAGCTCCCTCGACAGCTTCGCCCTTCCATTTCGCATCGTCCACGTGCCCTATTAAAAAGGGATCTTCTGAGGATAAGACTATCCCTTCGGCTGGCGATTTGGCAACATGCATGAAACTCGGATACTACCTCATAGGCGTAATATATCGCGCTCACCACTATTCTACGAGTTCGCGCGTGGGCTTTTCAGAAGCGTCTCCTATCGTCTTAGATGCTGTACTTGAATACACAGCAAATAAATTTGGAGGGTGAACAGATGGTTGCTTGCGAGATTGTCCCAACGGGTCGCCCGATGACTGGCGTAACAAAAGCTCAGATATCGGCTTGAATACAATACTTACATCCTTTCATGATGAAATACATATGGAGAAATGGCAGCTCATAGTGGAAGCATATCACATGGAGCGCAAAGCCATTGCGATAACAAATGCATTGCTTTCGCTGGTATCGTTAAAGAGATACAAAACAAATCAGGCGAATAAGAGTACAGGAGTCCTGGATGCCAAGACTTCTGCGCCAAGATCTCGGATCACTTGGACAATAATGAGCCACGAGGTGCTTCGGAACTGCACCTGGCCCCAGCCCGATTGGCGGCCCAATCGTCTTAGACGGATCCAGATGGGATGGAGCCTTCAAAATACCCTGTTCCCCCTGCGAGGAGCGCCAGCGACGAGGGGGGAAACAACAATCTTCCGCGAAGCAGTAATTCACATACCGGGTTAATTGGCATATAAGATACTACCATATAGCCGAAGCGTCCATCTGATCATCGTTTGGAACCGTATTTTATATGTAAAGGGGCCTTATAACACTGTGGTATCGTATAGCCTAAGGCGCTAGTCAATGGTCTTACTAAGCTCACTGTCGCCAATTAGAGAGCTCGAAGAGACGCCCTTGTTAGACGGGAAAATACCTCTGTACGAGGGATGGTACCTAATTTGGGGGCGTAGTGTACCGCAAATGGCCTGTACCTACTCCGACTACTCACCATTCTACTTGCCATGCTACTGTAAGGATTTACTCAATAAAGTAGATTCCCAATGGACTTAAATGGATACTCCTAATTTTGGCCTAGGGGCCTAGTACGAGTACCATTACTCAGCAGGCTACTAGGACCCATATCTTACAGTCTAATTATGGCCTACGTCTAAAAACCGTTATTTTGAACGGTATCTTATATGCAAAGGGGCCTTATAACGATGTGGTCTTTTATATGACAATTAACCCGGTATCTACTCAACGTCCCTCCGGCGGTTCTCCGAGGGTTCCTGCCGGTGGGGCAGACAATCTTTTGCGAACTTGAGACATGATTCCTCTTGGCTGGTCGATCGGTGACCTCCTAAGTGCAATAGGGGTACTGAAAAGCGTCATTGAAGCCCTGGATGAGAGCGCAGGTGCTAAAGCCGACTACCAAGAGCTGATGAAGGAAATCTATGGCCTTGAGAGAGTTCTTATCACCATCAAGGAGTTGGGGCTGGATGATAGTCCATTGCACCCCGAACATGGTGTGCTCAGGCAAGCGATCGACGAATGTCAGTCATGTATCGATAAATTCTTGAAGCCGCTCGAGACATACCGGTCACTCTCATCTGGTGGATCATCTAGTCTTAAAGACCAATTTCGAAAAGTGAAATGGGCGCTGGGCCACGAAAATGATGTCCGCAAGTTCAGAGAAGCGTTCGGCAAAAGGATCGCGTCTCTCAATTTGCTCATTGGGACAATCAATCTCTCTCAATTTATATCATCGAACCGCAAGGCCGAGGAAAAGGTTGAACAACAGGCCATATTGGCGACGGATTTACAGATCCGCATGTCAGCTAACGATGTCGAACAAACCGACCTGCTCCAGAGAATCGAATCAGTGGACTCTTTCACTATATCCAATCGAGACACGAAAGCACTTCTTAGAGATGGCTGCAAATCTGATTATTTGTGACTTCGTTGACGAGGGCCTTCTGGATGCGGAGGTCTTCAAGAGGATGAAAAACTATGCTCTGACAAGCAAGTCTCGGATTCACGCAGAGCGATGTGTCTTCCTACTAGGCTGCGACCCCAGTCGAGCTGGCTGGGATGTATTTACATTGATACGCCTTGGAGCCTACCTCACCGATCAACAGCAATTCGACAAGGCGCAGTCTCTACTCGAAGCTGGGCGTCGCCGACTAGATGAGCTACCATGCTCAGAAACGGAAGTCGAGATATTGAAAGCAGTCAATCTCCGCATAGTGCTGTCACAGCGCTATCGTGATTTTGCCAATGCGCATCGTTGCTTGGAGCCTGCGGAGCAGCAGCTCAGGAGTCTCCAGTCTGCTAAAGCCGCTTTGAAAAGTTGTGCTACACCTCGCACCCCCCAATGGACTTTCTACGACCTATGTGTCGTAAGTGCAATTGTTGAAATCTATGCGCGTGAGCAGAAAGTCATTGAAGCTACCGAGTTGCTGGATCAAGCGGTAGGAGAACATAGTGCGCCTGGGTTTGGGGCAGCTTCAATGCTGAACATATTGTACTTGAAGTCTCGTTTTCTTTTCCATACAAGAGATTATCGAGGCTCGGTTCAGACCGTTGAAGAGGTCATCGAGGGGATCAATTCATTGCTTCGCAGTGAAACACTGGTAGAAGATTCCTTTTTCCATAACGAGAAATCACTAAAAAGCCTTCGTGCACATGCACACTTTCTGGTAGGGGAAGCACACGACGTTGCCGGCAACGAGGAAGAGTCAGACGTGCATCTGTCACGAGCTCTAGTTGCCTTTGAGAATTTGGATTTTCACAGAGAGACTTTGTTGAACTGCGCAGACTCCTTCAACGAAAGTCAGCGAACTAGATTACCACATTTGTGGGATTCTGTCCTGCGAAGTCCACATGTTCTACGACCGTCTACTCTGCGAGGACTCAACATTGATCCCGGATCTCTCATCAGAAATGACGAGAGAGACGAATGGAGCACTGCGCTCAATGCGGTTCGCACGGTCGTAAGGTACAGACCTGGAACTTTGCGATACACTCGTCTTTTGGAAGAATTGGCAGAAAAGCAAGTCAAGCTTGTCAACGAAAATCATTGATGCCATTGCTGGTGATGAGGAGTGTGTCCTGGGGTACTGTATCTTTATAAGTGCCGAGCCTCACTCAATCTACATCACTATGATACAATGCCTATGAACCATGCAAAATTTGACCATGCCGAGAACGAGCCCAGCGCGTGAGCGTTTATCATTACGCATCAAATTGGGAGGCTGTTCGGTTGGTTGAGAGCATGCATGAGGCACTCTATCTTTATACTCTATCCTTTGAGGCTTCTCTTTCGCTACAGGATAAAGTTGTTCACCGCTGTTCTGCAGGTTTTCGGGGAAAGTGTAGGCTTCCGGCGGTTGCAACGGCAGCCTTGCATGCATCAACTGCTCTGAGAAAGCCAATAGAGGTCCAAGGTTCTGCTCACTTGCATGAGACGATATTTGCCCCACTTCCAGTAAAATCAGCTATTAATCGTTCCGTTCTTGATAGTTTTCTCGCAACCATATCTACATTGGAAGGCCTAGTCCAAGATCCAAAGTCGGCAACATGGAGGTGACTATTGTTGATTCTGAGCCTTCGGTAGTAGCTCTAGTTGATTATCTCGACCATCTTCCGACCCAACCACCGTCCCTCTACCTGGACATCGAGGGCGTGAAACTCTCCCGGCATGGTTCAATTTCTATCCTTCAGCTTTTCGTCTTTCCCAAAAATCACGTCTTTTTGATCGACATATTCATTCTACAAGAAAAGGCGTTCTGTACTTCTAATCGTTCCGGGATAGACCTGCGATCGATTTTGGAATCGGCGCAGGTGCCGAAAGTGTTCTTCGACGTCCGTAACGACTCCGATGCTCTCTTTGCGCATTTCCAGATCTCATTGCAGGGGATCCATGACGTCCAGCTCTTGGAGGTTGCGACTCGGTCTTATCCGAAGGAAAGGCTGAGCGGGCTCGCCAGGTGCATCGAAAAGGACGCACAGCTCACGGTCGAAGCTTCAGGGGCGTGGAAAGCTACCAAGCAAAAGGGACTGTTATATTTCACGCCAGAACGTGGTGGTTCATATGAAGTGTTCAATGTCCGGCCGATGCTTCAAGACATCATCCATTACTGTACGCAAGATGTGGTGTATCTTCCTGTATTGTGGAAGATGTTCACTCGAAAGATCTCCACAAAGTGGATGAGAAAAGTACAAGATGCAACAAGCGAAAGGGTGCGTGAGTCGCAGACGGCATCGTATGAGCCTCATGGCGAGAACAAATGCCGGAGTCCATGGGCCAAATCTGCCAAATCTGGGGGAGGTAACCGCCCTGATGGTCCCAGCGACACTGGGGCGAGAGATCCCGGGAGGAAGACAATGACCACTGTTGCACAAAAAGCTGTGACAAAAGCAGCAAAGAAAACAGCAGCAACGCAGCCAGCCGCAAACCCACACTCTCAACGGTCAGTAGGAGAGCCAGGTCTAAGGCGGTCAGCGAGATTAGCAGCTTTTCAAGCTACACAAACGGCTCCCGAAATTACTGCGGAGCTTGAACCCCCACTATCCAAGATTGATCTCCCATCTAGAAGCAAAAACGAGCTAGAGGGAGAATCGCACAGGAGAACAGGCCCTACTCTATATCCTGACACGGTTCACTCGAAATGGACATGCATCACATGTGGCCGGGAGATGCAAGAACATCAGAAGGAGGACCACTTGGCAGGCAAACAGCACATCGCACGTGTGAGGCGGACTGCCCCTCGTCCAACCGGGACAGCCAAGCAGAAGACCCTCGGAGCGACGACCGTCACCACGAGGAACCCCCAAACAGAAAGCTTTCCCATCGAAGCCAAACCTCGACAGAAAAATCCAGCCGCGGGCACGAATGGCAGGAAGAGACAAGCAGCAGTGCCTGGAATCCGCCAAATCGGAATGCCGTACCCACCCGATCATCTGTTTTCCGGGTTCGGAGGATGCGCAGTCCCCGACAACCGGCGGTACGGAAATCGGCAGTATGAGACATCGCTGGAGGATGTGAATCACGCGCTCTGCGACAAAGACTGCGGTTGGTGTGGACACTGTATGGACGGCGTTGACGTTTGGAGTTGCGAGACATCGTCCGCGCACAGCTCGGGTGAGGCGTTTCGATGGTGATGCCTGAGGCCACGATAGTAGGCGACGACGACATCGTAGCCTAGCGAATGACTCAAACCACTCCAGCTTTCACACCACTTACTTCGTTCCTCCAGACCTTATATAAACCCCCCCTTCTGCCCACCATCCAAACCCTTTTTTCCTTTCTTCCCTCCAGCTTCCTTTGCCACTCCGGCTTAGATCAAGTGTAGTATCTGTTCTTTTCAGTCTGGTCGCTGAAAGGTGTTCCACGCGTTCACCAATCGTGCAGATCATACCAATTTTTTTTCTTTCACACCTGCGATGGTTTCCTTCAGGCTTGCTTGGAGGGAGCGCAGTGCGTTGTGTCGCTGGCCGAACACTGCCGCCGCTTGATGCTGACGCTGATGCTGATGAGTTTTTCATCGAGACTGCGGCCTTGTGCCGGGACTTGGAGAAGAAGCATCGTTGGAAGAAAGAGCTTGGAGCTCAGAGTGAACATTGTTGGGACTGGCCTTGTAGATGTGGTTTCATAGAGATATTGGCAGGCGATTTTCAGAATGCATGTGGGGAGAAAGAGGTACTAGCTACTATACCTAATTCTATGGTTCAGCTATATTGGTATTGTTCGGAGTCCTTACCGTACCTGGTGGTACTATCCAGCAACATTCTCCGCAATCCTCTCTCCTTGCCCTCCCAGTTTCCCCTCCATCCTCTCACCTTTCCCCTCAGACACAGCAAACATCTTCGAAATAGCCTCCACAGTCGTATTCCCGCCACTCAATACCACCCCAACATCCCACCCCTCCTCACCACCCTCTTTCTCCACCAAGCTTCTAAACTCCTCGTCATACAAAGCAACCGCCAACCCCACGACGGCACTCGGTTCCACAAACAGCTTCATCCTCTCCAGCACCAGTCTCATCGCTTGTAAGATCTGCTCTTCTGTGACTGCATGTATACCGCGCATTTTTGTTTTATCCGAGATGATGGTCCAGGGGATTTCGCCCACGGGAGTTCGCAGTCCATCGGCTATGGTGAGTGTTTTGACGGTGGTGACACGTTTTTTAGCTGCCAGGCCGCGCCGAGCGTCATCGGCGCCTTCAAAGGATGGTTCAGCGCCGAAAACGTAAGTCCCTGTACCGTGGAGAGCAGTGGCGATTCCTGAGAGCATCCCGCCGCCGCCGATTGGGGCTATGACTGCGTCGAGGTGCCCAGGTTCTGACACCAATGAGGACGCATGTATACCGTTCGTGTGGCTGGTATTCCTGTGCCCATTCGTAACATCTTGTTGTCCCCTATGGTGCACACTCAAGGCTGGATCCTTCATTATCCATTCTCTTGCTTGCTCCTCAAGCTCCAATGCCATTGTGCCTTGCCCAAGTATGATGTCTGGATGGTCGTACGGCGGCACGAGGACTGCACCAGTAACTCTAATGACATCCTTCACGACGGCTTCCCGCTCATCAGATGTACTACCACTGAAGTAGACGTTCGCCCCATAACCCTGTGTAGCTGCAATCTTCGAAGGCGTAGATATCGTAGGCATGACTATGTGGGCAGGTATGCCATGTGTCCGTGCGGCCAGCGCGAGTGCCTGTGCATGGTTGCCTGGAATGCCGCACTCAGATATAGCCAGCTTATCCGTGGGAAGCTGCCTTACCAGAGCTGTGTGTCACCACTCCCTTCGCTAATTCCTCCTCGCTTAACCGAGACAGTGCATGGAAGGCTCCACGGATCTTGAATGAGCCAGTGCGCTGAAAATTTTCACACTTGAAGAAGACATTTATTCTAGGGCGAGCTGGTCTCTGCCCCTCGAAGGGAGTACCGACTAGGGCTTCTGGGGTCTGCGGGGTCTTGATGATTTTGGAGTCAGCATCACTCTTTCGGGAGGGACTCTGAGTCGCGAGACATGTCTTAGGAGCATAGGACTCTTTGTACACGTCTGACGACTCATAAGACAGCATGAATGGGGAAGAACTGCCTCGGAAAGTGTAACGTACAGATGCAAGGTTCGAGAGGTTTGTTGACGTTAAAACAGGCGTGAGTTGGATGTGGTCTTTTATGCGTTCATGGGCGGACTGGACGGAGGAGCGCTTCAAGGGCAGGGTCCTGGAGAGGTCGGCCATGGTAGTGTGTCGAGGTGGATCACTTACCCCTATTTTCTTAATCACTGGGAAACTACCACCCCCCCCAAAAATCAAAACCCAAAAATTTGTCTTTCTTATATAACTTCATTACCATAACTCTTTTTTTTTAAATTTTATAACGTCTACCCACTATATCAAATATTTTATATCTAAATTTTGAAAAGTTTCTAATTTTGATATTATAATACAAAATAAAAGTAAAGAATATATCGCGAAAATAGCTTCGCTTAAAAACTTTACCTCGGCTATTTTTTTTCTCGCCAAGACTATATTGAAGAAATTCAAAGAATTTAATAAATCTCTAGGTACTTTACATTAGATTTAGAACGAATAGTTAAGATCTTCTATAAATTAAATTCCTTAATCTATTTTATAATTATTATAAGCTAAGAAGCTTTTAGAGCGTTACAGATCATCGTCGTGAAATTAGTTAAGAAATGCAATTTCTTCGGGTTTTTAAGGGGGGGTGCCAAAATCGCGATTTTCGTTTCCCAATGATTAAGAAAACAGGGATATCGCGTGTCTTTAGGTTCAGTAACACTTGATAACATGAATCAGTACACGCAGTCAGCGTGAAACTGGGTTGCAGGATGATCGATTAAATTGCTTCAACTTTTGTGAATGTCCGCGCCGATCTTCGGCGGGCCCGCTAGAGGCAACTTTTCCCGGCCCTGCCTTGAACGTGGTCTTGGTATCATACAAAGAGATCAAACGCTTGATGCCTCACAGACCAGAAAAATCTATATTTGATTCTCTGGACGAAGAGTTCTGCACCACAAGTCAGTGAATCCTGAGCGAATGCACAGCAGACG